TGGGAGCAGGCGGCAGCAGGAGGCCACAGGGCCTGCGCAGCGACACTCACCTCTGTCCAGGGACTGGTGGTGGTGCTGGTGGAGGACAGGAAGCCCAGGTCCAGGCTGGCCGAGGAGTTCAGGGAGCCCTGGGACTCGCGCCATAGCAGGGCACTTCCACCGCCTTCTCCGCCCTCTAGGAGAGAGGCACGTGCAGCGCCAGGGACAGCGGGCACCCTCTGGGGACAGGCAGCCAGGGTGGCCACGGCCACTCCGACTGAGGGCAGCACATACCTGCCCAGGAGGGCTCCCTTCGCTCCCCCTTCCTGAAGGAGCGGCGCGGGCTGCCTTTGGTGCTGCTGCCGGCTGCCTCCACGCAGGGACTTGCCCAGCTTCAGCTTTGACTTCTGGCACGAAGAGAGAGTGTCTTGGATATCCGCGGGGATACCCAAAGCTGCCTCTTACTCCAGACCTTTACCCAAGCTCAGCCCAGGGCTTGAGCTGCCAAGTGCTGGTATTGCACTTACCATCAGGAAAGGGACCAGCAATGACAAAAAAGAACCTGGCCATATTTTCAGGCCAAGGGACAGGTCTCTTGTTGCCCCCTTCGCACCCGACTCACCTTGCTGAGGTCAGGCGGGGGGCTGCTGCTGCGGGAGTGGGGCCGCAGGTCTGGCAGAGGCTGCCCCTGGCTCTCCGCTCTCAAACAGGCCTGGTAGAGCGGGGATTTCACAAAGCGTGCGTAGCTGTCAAACTTCATCAGGTTAAAGATCTGCAAAGGGGGGACAAGCGCGGTCACAACACTTGCTCACCTAGAGCCCTTTCTGGCTAGTGCAATCCCCAGCCTCTGGGACAGCAGCGAGGCCGGGCAAATAGCGGGGGGAGGTCCCAGAGCCCCCGTCCAGCATGCGGGGTGGAGCAGGGGTGCTGCTTGCTCAGCCCCATCTCACCTGGAGCTGCTGGATGCGAAACATGTCCGGGGATGGGGTGGCCAGCACGTCCTCCCCAATCCAGGCCTGCTTGTCAATGTTCACAGGACTCACCGAGTGGCTGGAGAGGAACTCGTCGTAGATCCGCCGGGCCTCCTGCGCCAGCTGCGGGAGCAGGGATCAGACCAGGACCAAGGGCCCTCTCCTCACTGGTACCACGTGGAGAACCCCTAGCTCACCCCATCGAGCTCGAATGCCACCTGAGTGCTGAAGGGCAAAGTCACAGTCCTAGGGCTGGGATTCAGGGTGGGCATCAGAGGTGACTTCACTGCTTCAATGCTGGGCTCTGGGCGTGACATGCTGGTCCCTCCCCAAAGACACAACCTCCTGTAGGAACTGCCCCTCACACAACTGCATGGCTCTGTCCCCTCAGGTCCTGCTCTGCTCCATTTCCCTCCATGTCTTCTTTTTCCCAGTCCTTGCAGTGCTTCCCACCATCTTTTGGCATCAGGGATGGAGAAGCACTTCCTGCTCTGTGAGGCAGGCCATCCTATCTATGGCTTTCCAGATGCTTCTGTATCTGTCTCTGCATCTCCCCCCCCCCTCAGAAGAGCCCTCCCACAGGAGGCAGGAGTTTGCTGGAGTCCCATGGCACCTAACGGCGATCCTGGCCCCTCT